TAGGTGGAGCAAACTACTGCATCACAGGATTGGTTTCAAAACTGTTGTTCCATTCAAAAGAAAAAACATTACAATGGATTCAAAATGGAAGACAATCATGACCATCTTTATTATTCACGGCTTATTAGAAACCTTAGCTGGATCTGCTCCGCCACGAGGTAAGAAATATTGAAATTATTGGTGGTAAAGGAAGATCCGACGACAATTGCTCTGCAGTCACACTTAACCTCATCCCATTACTGACCATTACCATAAACCTAACTTAAAACCAAATAATATCCCCCCCCCCCCCCCTCCGCCACCCTGGCCCAAAATTTTTTTTTTTTTTTTTTTTTTTAAAGACGGACCTCCAGCCCTGGCCAAAAAATTTAAAGATGGTAATCACAAGTTTTTTTTTTCTTTTGCTTTCTGTTTTTAAATTTTGTGCTCACACTACCCCCGCACCCTTCCCCTAAGTGAGCAAAAATAACGGTCTGCGCAATTTTCGAATTTCCCGGGATTTCTTTTTTTAATGCTCACAGTATTCAGTATTTCAGTTTTTATTATTGATAAATTACAAAGCGATTTGGTGAATGATACTCAAATATTGTGAGATTTATTCTTATCCTTTTAAAACACTTCCTCCCTTGAATAAATGAGGTGATATCAGCTCATAGATATGTTTACTTTATTAATATATTTGTATTTGGCGTCACCTGTGCCTGGATGGGAAAAGCGAACTGAATCACTGTATCCATTGGGCCTCTCCTCCCGGTATAACTAATTCTAAAGAAAAGACAATATAGTCTCAATCTTAAATTGTCACTAATTTTCTCAAATTACATTTATTTTCTTTGAGAATAAATTTAATAATAATGTAATGTATCGATCTTAAAGAAATATCTAAAAAAAAATCTCTCTTATTCGTTTAGAATCTGAATCACCTTCGTCCTCTGGTGATTGTGACAATCCCACTTTAGCATCCATGTTTAAAGGACAGAATAGACAGGTAAATAAAGAATTTATTCGTGCATCCTGTTTAGAGGGAGAAAAAGACAGGTAATATAGAATTGTATACAGTATTCTTAAAATGTTAACCATTCCCTTTAATTCTTTTAAGGGGGTCTGCTTGAAGCCTGGGAGCAACTTTCACATCACTTCAACTGCAAAATTGTCTAACAAGTCGATAAAAGGTCCTCACGTTTTGGGGATAAGTACAAATCAAAGAAATTAATATTGTTTTAAATCTTTTTTAAGCGATGGTGTTGGTGTGATCGAACTGAAAATCCCCTCGGTTGGTTTCACGGGTTCTAAGGTTTGCAATAATTGAGCAACCTCTCTCTACTCTACTCATAACATAATAAAAAGTGGAACACTTACACGGCAGTCCAAGAAAAAAACACGATTATCTTCTTCTTATTTTTTTCAGGAATTTTTCATACTTTACGTCTCTTATGGCAATACACGGAGTAGGCTACAAATTAGAATTAATTATTTACTTTATAATTCAAATTTCTTTATATATTATTTGTAAAAGTGATACGGTAACTTTCTGATCGGTTGTCAATAAACAACAATTAAGTGGCCCCACATATCAAAGTTGTTCGTTCCCATGACTCTCTCGCGCAGAACTAAGCCGCAAACATAATGTCATTGAGGTGCTTTTAGACTACCTATAACATTAGCTTACAGGTTTTCAGAATGATAGCCTTCTTACGTGATTTTATATCCATTTCTTTGTAGAAAAGAAGTGCGCAACTCCGAGGTAAGTAAGATCGAAGGATTATTAAACGAAATATCGACTCAATAATACATCCTGAAAATCCTGAAAAATAGGGGAAGAACAGATAACCGCTAGAGTGCTTTAAAGACACATCGATATTTTTGCTGTTCAATACAGTACAATCCCATGACTTTAGACCTGTAGTAAAGTACCTAAGGCGAAGATACCTGGCTTTTCGTCCCATTTTCCTTCCTTTTAACGCCCTGTCTCAATTTCTTTGGTATTTGATATTTTTGTTCTGAAATGAAAACTTCAGCTTGAAACAAACGAGAATATTTTGTTTTTCTCTTTCACGACTTGATAATACAGGCTATATTGTGTAATATGTTATAATCTGTAACAATCATACTTGTGTTCTCAATTGAATTATGTTTTGTACTTATTGTGTTAAAATTGTTTTATATGTGTGGAAATAAATAAATGAGCTTGAACTTGAAACATATAAACAGTTGGATAACAAAATCGTTAATATAATGCAAACCTAAAATTGATTAAGAAAAGAAGGTATTTAGACAAACCCTCAATAGCATTTTTGTGTGCAGGAAATATATTATATCATATGTTAAATATCAAAATTGACCCCTCCACCTAAAAAACTAAGACTTGATTATACTTTGCCCAAGGCCATGCAGCGCACACTACAAGATCCGACTGCGATCCGATTTCCGAATAAATAACACTTGTAATAGATTAGGAAATCTGAACAAGCATTGTCTTCCCGATTCAGGTTCTAAACTGATGATAAGAATACTAACAATCGAAATGTTAGTGCATTTCAAACTTCTAGTCAGAATAATTACTGAATCGGCTTCAAATCGTAGACAATCGCGCTACTCCCTGCTGGAAAAAACACACTCATTCACACTCATTCACAGTGTGAACGAGTGTGTTCTTTCCAGCAGGGCTTGTCTGATGGTGCTACGCTTCTGTGGCGAGTTAGTTTAGTAATTCCAAATAATCATGTCTTTCTTTTACAATCTAAACGATTTGATGTAATTATGGTCTTAATCTTTTATTGTCACTTGTTTTCTCAAATTGCACTTATTTTTTTTTCACAATAAATATAATAATAATGTAATTTATAGATGTGTTAATCTAAACGTATGCTATATACTTTATTTCATTTCATTTCTTTATTTCATTTCATTTCTTTATTTCATTTCATTTTCTTTGTATTGTAACTGAAGATGGAAATGTATTTACCATAATAAATACAACTTTGTATCACACTGTGCATAGTTATAGGGTGTGAACCATATTCCCCGTCGATCACGATCGAGTGTGACCCAGGATCAACGATCATAATCACCAAAGGAGTTTGTGTGATGGTCCCTTCTTGCGATGCTTATGACCCCTCTCTGGAGAGCCAGTGTGATAACAGTGACAAGACGGCACAGTGGGCTTGGTACTGCGAGACTCGCAATCCATGTAGCATCACTGTCTCATGCTCCGCGGGTTCAACGTGCCCAGGGGAGTACACCTACGGCTACGCTGAGTATGAATGTACGCAGTAGCAGTTCTAGAAATGGCGGAAAATCAGCCCCCCCCCCCCACCTCCTCGAAGAAAAAAAATCTTGCACCTGAACATAACATTTTTAAAAATATTAATCTATGAGAGGCAAATGCAGAATAAATGCACGAATCCCCAAGCCCCAGCACCCCTCCCAAAACAAATGTTGTAGTTTTAATGTAACTACATGAAAGCCAAAAAGGATGAACATTTAACGTCTCCCGGAGCTTTAATATAAAATGCATCCAATAAGTCAAGTAATTACATAATTTTCAAGAGAAATAAATCATGAACGTTGATCCCACTGCAAAATTAATTGCATAACAATCACCTGAAACTGCGAAACAAAAATCGAAATATATTCAAGTTGTTCTTATTTGGGGATGCGTAGAGAAGTGAATGTTTATGTTATGTATTCATAACTATGTATTGGCACTGTTTTCTAAGTGTTCTACATGTTTCATAATGATATAGTTGTAATTCATACAGCCCCTTTTCCACTAAGATGGCATCCACGAGTTAGTGTTACCAAGCAGTGAAAGTTTAAGTTAAAAGAATGCGTAAGGTTTTAGAACAGGAAGGTCTCCAAACTCTGTTTGAATGTTTCTACTGTTGGCATGTTGGTGATTTTAATTTGAGGGCGTATCTTGTTCCGGAGTGTGCCAGCAGGAGAGGTAAAAGCTGCATCTCCAGCTGATTTGTCGATTATTGGTTCAGGCGCGAATCCAGGAATTTCTTGCCGGGGAGGGGGGGGGGGGCACCGTTTTGGAAAGAGAACATATATATATATTTTTTTTAGTCCCCCCAAAATCGCAACGACTCAGCCAGCCGCTGAATAAGCGGGATGGGGGGGGGGGGGGGGAATGAGAGGACAATTTTTTTTTTTTTTTTTTTTTTTTTTTGGGGGGGGGGGGGGGGGGGGGGGGGTAAAGAATTTTTTTAATTTGACATTTTGCACCGTCATATTATATTATGTTATGTTATGTTATGTTATATTATTTTTGGGCCGGGGGGGGGGGGGCACGCCCCTGTTTTCGGTATATTTTGGGCGAATTTAGGGCTGATTATAACATTTTTTTTTTGGCGGGGGGTGGGGCACGTGCCCCCTGTCCCCCCCCCCTCTGTATCCGCCACTGTGATTGAATAAAGATCACTGTCGATCTTTTTTCCTCCTATAAATTAAATTGTTTAAATCCTCGATCATCTTTTTAATGCTATTCTTATTCCACCCACAGGTGTTACAGATGTAACAACCGCGCCGACAACGTTAACAAGTGTGAGTTATCCTCCATAAGGGGGTCATGTGACATACAAACATTCCCAAGAAGACTGTAATTTAGTGTAATATGAAGAAATATCTAACTATTTTTTTCAGATGAAATTTTGTATAATATCACAATTGAATTCGTCTTACAATTTATTTATTTTATTTTACTCACTCGCTTCATCACCTATTCATTCATGCATTTATTCAATTTCATTTAGTTGTTGATAGTTAGAACAGTATAAGTTTCATAAACCAAGTTGAATGATAAAACGATACACTTGATACTGATTGCTTGGTTACTGGATTGTTTCTTATTCTTCTACTTAGTTATGCATGTAATTCTGAATTATCCTCTTTTTCATGAAAGCTACATATCATATATAGAATTTTAGTTATTTCATGAACTAATGTATTATGATTATACTGAATGAAAAGAATTGTATATTTCTGTTTGATAACAGGCCAGCCGTGAAACGCCTACAGAAGAACGGACTCCAACGCCAAGTAAGTATTCACAAACTGATGTGAAGGTGTCATGGTAAAGTGGTTCAGTCATTTGACTCTCAATCCTAATGTTCATGGTTTGAATCCCAGTCTGGCACCAATTTTCTTTGGCAAGATCAGCATTTGCGACTTCCTACCCCGTTTAATTGGGTACCTGGCGATCGCTAAAGTAATACTAATTGCAAGGCTCTCTGGCAAAATAGCACTGGATCTGACGAGGCTTCTCTTGGTAGACAAAATCATGATTATTATCATTATTATCCTTTATTATTCAAGATAGAGCAAATCCAGATGAAACACTATTGGTTATGATAGTAGGCATACAGAAATTAGAAGCATTATAATTAAGAGCTAATAAATGTAACTATTATCATTTTATTAGTAGTATTATTATCATCATTGTTGTTGTAGTTGTTGCTGTTGTTATTTTGTGAGGATAGCCTGGCCTCATGCTCACGACACAGGCAATCCAGAGTAGGAAATGTACAATACACATGCAAGCATTTGGGGGCAGTGGGCCAGTAAGCCGAGATAGCGTTTCTACTTCGTCATTTTCGTCATTTTGTATTGTATCCTCGTTTACAGATATTGAGTTAAGATTTGTATAATTTTGTGCAATAATATAATTTTTTCTCATTATCAAAATGGGGCAAACACTAGGGCGGGATTGGGGCCATAAATGATACCTTTGGGGGCGCAGCATCCAAACCTCATCGCCCCCTAAAAAAACACGAGTCTGCCGTTTTGTAAATATTGAAGGAATCCGTTGCATTGTAATTTAATTAGAAATAAATATGAAATTATCCAACAGGCTACATGAAATTTCAACTTAGCCTTTAATAAATCGTTAAGGTTTAGGGATATGCTATATGTATTTCCATGCCAAGTGTAGGGCTACGTAACCTTGTAGTGGGTTGGAAGGGGTTAGTCTTTACCTAGCATTGCATCTTTTAATGCTCGTCTTTTTACTGCTATTCTTATTCCAAACATAGGTGTCAGAGGTGAAACAACCGTTCCGACAAGGTCAACAAGTGTGAGTTATCCATAACGGGGTCATAGGACATACACACATTTACTGGGAAGAATATGATTATGTGTTATTCAAATAATTTACTAACTCATTCGTTTTATAGATAATTTTTTTGTCATAATATGATAAATTGATTTAACGTTCAAATTACGATCCATTCATTCTATTTTACTCACTCGCTTAATCACTTATTCATTCAAGCATTCATTTATTTCCTTTTTATTTATTTGTGCAATGTAATTTTGACATAGATTTTTCTTTTTCTCACTTACAAATAAAAGTATTAAACATCGATCGTTGCTAGGTAACCGGGTCGTTTCATATTTTCATAGACGTATGTAATTCTATATTACCAAGTTTTCATGAAATAAAGTATTCACAATAAAATAATGAAAGTTATTTCATGAAATAATATGTTATGATTATACTGACGGGAGAGAGTGGTACATTTCTGTTTGATAACAGGGCACTCCTGAAACACCTACAGAAAAACGGACTCCTACGCCAGGTAATATTCACAAAATTATGTAGAGGTGTCATGGTCAAGTGGTTCATTCACTTGGCTCTCACTCCTTATGTTTAGGGTTCGAATCCCAGACCGGCACCAATGTCCTTTGGCAAGACATTAACGCACATTCGCCACTTCCAACCCAGCTGTAAATGGGTACCTGGCAATTCGTAGTGTAATAATAATTGCAGGGCCCTCTGGCAGAACAGCACTGAAGCTGATGAGGCTTTTCCTGTAAACAAAATTATGATTATAATCATTATTATCATGTATTATTTAAGATCAGACAAACCAGAAAAACAATATTGATTATTAGAGTAGGCATACAGAAATTAGAAACATTATGATTAAAAGCTAAATAAATGTAACTATTATCATTTTATTAGTAGTAGTAGTATTATTATCATTGTTGTTGTTGTTGTTGTTGTTGTTATTATTCTTATTTTGTGTGGATTGCCTGGCCTCATGCTCACGACACTGGCAACCCAGAGAAGGAAATGTACAATAAACATACAAGTATTTGATGCAGTGGGCCAGTAAGCCGAGGTAGCTTTTCTACTTAGGACATTTTCGTCATTTTGTATCGTATCCTCGTTTACAGGTATTGAGTTAAGATTTTGTATATTTTTGTGTAATAATTGAATGTTTTATCATTATCAAAATGGGGCAAACACTAGGGCGGGATTGAGGCCATAAATAATACCTTTGGGGGCGCAGCATCCAAACCTCCTTGCCCCCTGAAGATACACGAGTCTGCCGTTGTGTTAATAATGAAGGAATCCGTTGCCGTTATCCAAAAGGCTACATGAAATTTCAACTTACCCTTTAATAAATCGGTCAGGTATAGAGATGTGCTATATGTATTTCCATATCAAGTGTAGGTCTACGTAACCTTGTAGTGGGTTGGAAGGGGTTAGTCTTTACCTAGCATTGCATCTTTTAATGCTCATCTTTTTACTGCTATTCTTATTCCAAACATAGGTGTCAGAGGTGAAACAACCGTGCCGACAAGGTCAACAAGTGTGAGTTATCCTTAACGGGGTCATGGGACGTACACACATTTACTGGGAAGAATATAATTCGATGTTATTTAAATAACTAACTCATTTTTTTTATAGATAATCCTTTTTCATAACATGATGAACTGATTCAACTGTCAAATTACAATTTATTCATTCTATTTTACTCACTCGCTTAATCACTTATTCATTCATTCATTCATTTATTTCAATTTATATATTTGTGCAATGTACTTTTGACATAGATTTTTCTTTTTCTCACATACAAATAAAAGTATCAAACATCGATTACGAGTGAGAAGAGAAATAGGTTTCATTACACTAAGTTGAATGTTAAAACGATACACTTAATTCGATCATTGCTCGGTAACCGGGTTGTTTCATATTTTTCTATTAAGTTACGAATGTAATCTATATTATCCCGTTTTCATGAAATATACGTTTCACAATAAAATGATTAAAGTTATGTCATGAAATAATCTATTATGATTATACTGACGGGAAAGAATGGTACATTTCTGTTTGATATCAGGCCACTCCTGAAACGCCTACAGAAGATCGGACTCCAACGCCAGGTAAATATTCACAAAATTATGTAGAGGTGTCATGGTAAAGTGGTTCATTTACTTGACTCTCACTCCTAATGTTTAGGGTTCGAATCCCAGACCGGCACCAATGTCTTTTGGCAAGACATAAACGCACATTCGCCACTTTCAACCAAGCTGTAAATGGGTACCTGGCAATTCGTAGTGTAATAATAATTGCAGGGCCCTCTGGTAGAACAGCACTGCATGAAGCTGATGAGGCTCCTCTTGGTAAAAAAAAAAAAAGGATTATTATCATTTTTATCAAAGATAAGACAAATCCAGATAAGACACTATAAGTTGTGATAGGACAGTTATTAGAAACATTAGTATGTAACTATTAAAATCATTTTCATTAATGTTAATTACAATTATTCTTAATTGTAGTAGAAGTATTATTATTCTTATTATTACTGTTGTCGTTACTATTATCATTTATTATTATTATAAAATATAGTATTAATGACTGCTTTGAGAGAAATAGTTGGTTTTATACACTCAAGGGAAGGTTAGAATTGTGCTATTACCCGAGGCGTGCCGAGGGGAATAGCCCAATTGTAACCTTCCCGAGAGCGTATAAAAACAACTATTTCTCTAATATTAAAGCAGTCATTAATACTTTTATATGCCGGAAAAAAAAAAAACTTTTGTCGAAGATGGGATTCGATCTCTTGCGTACCAAAGGTAATGTTACTAGAGTCAGCGCCCAAACCGTTCGGCCAGCGCGCTATGTCAACATGTAAGGTAGTTTTCTTTAATATATACATTAAAATGAATTGAAAACGGCTTCGCGTGGTCGATGCTTCGCCGCTGCTCCATTAAACGGGCCCTTCTTTTACTTTTGCAATGCATATTGGCACGAACTTAGATCAAGATCTATCGGCAGATGTTTTTTTTTTTTGTTTTTGGAAGTTTATTTTCGTCTTCATGTCAACAATGCAAGATAAAATTGTCAGTAAGATTGATCGAGATTCAATTGTATTGAAATTACCGACCAATTCTTCGCACACATACGGTATCCTCGATCGCTCAGACCATTTTTTAACATGTAAACCTATGGGGTAACCATGGAGACTGACCTATTTTCCCAATAACCATGGTTATTGGGATTTTGAACTGTTTTTTAACCATGGTTACCGGGAATTTTCGGGAACAGTTAAAGTTTATGAATGCAATTTCGACCAATCAGATTGCTGGATTACTTAAGTGAGGTATATAATTGTTATTATTCATATTATTATTATTATATTATTATTATTCGTAGTAGTAGTAGAAGTAGTAAAAGTAGTATTACATGTATTACTTTCATCATCATTGTTATTTATCATCATCATCGTTGTTATTAATATCATTAATATTTCATGGTTGAGCTAATGCTAGAAGTAGCATTCCTGTACGGATAGCAACCAGCAAAGTATGGTTTAATATCAGGGAGAGCCGTTCTATTTTTGTACACTAAATGGGGGGGGGGGGTTAGGGTGAAGAGGGGCATCTATTGCAAGAAAACGGAGCGAAAATATACAGTATACATATGTATTTGGGGGCAGTGGGAAAGTTACCCGAGGGAGCGTTTCTGCTTTGCAAATTTTCGCCATTTGTTTTGTATCCTCGTTTACAGATGTTGAGTTAGTTTTGTTCAATAATAAATACTTGTCTCATTATTGATATGAACGATGGAGGGGGAGGGACACAGCACGGGGGATGCTTGACTAATATTTGTTTGCGTCTGCAGCATCCAAAGCCCCTCACCCCCCCCCCCCCGACACAAAAAAACAAAAAAAACGATTCTATCGTATGAAAAATTAAAGGCATCCGTTGCCTTATAATGTAATTTGATAAATATTGTACTTTAGTTATTGTACCAATGGACTTGCGTAAACATTCTTTTAAAATCATTAGAAAAGAAGAAAACAATAAAACAATGAACATAAAGATAGAGAGAGAGAGAGAGAGAGAGAGGGGGGTGAACAAAAAACTCAAACTGTTGCTTCAGACAGTGTGTGGTGTCAACGATAATTCAGGAGAAATATTATTTGACAGGCCACATGAAATTTCAACTTGGCCTTTAAAAAAATAAGTCAGGTGTAGTCTTATGCTACATGTATTTTTATGTCAAGTGTATGCCTACGTAATCTTTAAGTGGGTTGGAAGGGTATAATCTTTGCCTAGCATCGCATCTTTAAACTTTATATTAATTCATAACACGTTCACAAAGACTTCCTAGAAATAAATTCAAAGGCAATTAAAATACACTATTGCATATATCCCAAAGAAATCATGTTTGGATTAGGAAATACGTCGCTGTAATGCTTGCCATATATCAAAAGGTGATGGCCACGCTATTGAAATTTATTAATGTTCATTCTTTTAGAGCCTTGGCGATCGTCAGTGATATAGGCCTATATTTCGATAGGTAATGTCAATCACAACATCGAGTGTTTATTTCGGTTATTTTCCACAGATTTTACCACGATTCACCAAGCATTGCCCACAATACCATCACAAGCAGACATAGTCCACCAGAAGACCTCCCTCTTCAAACGGATCGAGGGACGGCGTCTTCAAAATCACGTGATCAAAACCAAACATGGATTGTCATTGGTCAAATGCGGTGCCGAGTGTAACAAGCGAGATGACTGCGTGTCATTTAACATCGGCAACGGTGTGTGTGAGCTCAACAAACAGGTGTTAGGCGGCACCGGTGTCAGCAGAGACGACTTTGTTGAATACGAGGGATTTAAATATTATGAGAAACAGTAGGCTTTGAGTCGAAGTTTGTCTTGAAGGTATTAACCAACATGATAATGGTTTGCGAAAACACGTGATTGGCGTACAAAGAGATTCACTCTTCTTCATATATCATTTACTTATTATACCAACTGAGAATATTCACAGAGATTTGTCGATTAAGATGTTGATTTACTTCTTTTCATGTGTATTACGAAACTTTAGAAAAAAAAGTGGCACGAACTTGTGGTTGTGTTGTTCATGTGCATATATAAAATTTACTTTCGTATGATTAATGATCAATATCCGTTTAACCAGACAAATACTGTTACAATCGCTAACACATTAAAGTAATTATGTTTAGAGAACATGACTGTATGTAAATAATTCTGTATTTGATTGTGTGAATTCTATATCCATTACATTGTTAAAAGTCAAATGATTTAAAACACGCCTTTTGGGGGTCAGACTATTGCCATTATTTAATGGAACGTTATAAAAGAAAAATACACTTCAACATTTATAAGTGTAGCAAGGAAGGGAAATTAACGCCAAAAAGGTTTGACTCGACTTATTAATTATTTGGTTTCTGAATCATCTTTTGAACAAAGGCCTACTTTTCATAAACTTCAACATAACGGTATAAATCTGATAAGGTTTAAACAAACAC